AGGAAGTTCCCCCTAATGTTGAGGTGGAATCTCTTTTCCTGGAGCTTTTATCCATTGTTTTGGGATGTACTCCTGCCTTCCAAGATACCTTCCAAGATACTGTCTCCTTCCCCAACATGACTCAGTTTAAAGCCCTCCTGATCAAATATTTGAGACTATTGGCAAAAATGCTTCTGCCAACTGGTGTGAGATGCAACCTCTCTTGCTAGAATTCCCCCCACGTGGAACCTCAGCCCATGATCTAAGAATCCAAATCGTTCTTGGCCGCACCATCTATGGATCCAGTTATTCATGTCTGCTATCTTCCTATCCCTTCCTGGGCCATGCCCTTCAACTGGGAGAGGAGATGAGATAACAACCTGTGCATCCAGCTCTTTCAGCATCCTACCCAAAGCCCTATAATACCTTCTGATATTCTGAAGACTGTGCTTTGCAATATCATTGGTTCCTACATGGACCAAGAGGAAGGGATAATGGTCAGTAGGCTTAACAAGTCTTGTCAGCCTCACTGTCACATCACAGATTTTTGCCCCAGGGAGACAAAACACCTCCAAGACATCTTGTCAGGCCCACAAACCACTGCTTCTGTACCCCTCAACAAAGAGTCCCCAACCACCACCACATGCCTCCTCCGAGGCTTAGCAGTGGCTGTTCCCTGTGGTGGTAATCTTAGGGTCCCCTGCACTGTCCCTGCTGTGCTTCCTCTTCATCCTTGAAAAGGGAGAGAGCTTCAAATCGATTCTGTAGCTGCAAGCTCCCAGAACAATCCCTGGTTTCCCTACTTCTTTGTATGACGTTCCTCTAGGTGTCCACCTCCTGTGTGCATGAAATGACAACTTCCTCTGTATGGTCCCCATCCAAGACCATTCGTTCCGCTCTGTCCAGGAAAACCTCTTGCTCCCTAATATGCTGAAGTGCAACTACCCAGGCCTCCAGCTGCTTGACTTTCTCTTCTAGGAGGGCCACAAACGTGCACTTGGTGTAGGTGAAGTTCTCCACATCTCTTGGCAAGAAGACAAACATCCCACAAGTGTTGCAGGTGACTGCAGCAACTCCCTCAGTGTCCGTATTGAGAAATCTTAAGTAAGCACTGAAACAGGACTGTGGGCTTCTCCCTGAAAAATTCCCCTGGTAAAGACCTACATAAAAGGCCCTTGTTCTCTTGGTCTTTTCATTAGGCTCTGTCAGCAAGCTCAATCTACTGGGTTTCTAACTCTACAGAGAGCTCCTGGATGCTGTCTTATTCTGGAGGCAAGTCTCTGTCTCTCTTCCTCTGAGCAAAAAAACCCAAAAAAAACAACCCACTCAATATGGCTGCCCAGAAACTGCTTTCCTTCTCCTTCCTGGCAGAAACTCAATGTTGTTTGAACGCTGGGCTTCAACTCTGGAGATTAGGGTCTGATTCCCTGCTTGGCCATGGAAACCCACTGGGTGACTTTGGGTGAGTCACACACCCTCAGCCCCAGAAGACTCCATGCAAGTTTTGCCTTATGGTTGCCATAAAATGGAAATAACATGAAGACACATAACAACACAATAGTATGCATGTTATACTTTTATTCTCATTGTTACATTTTTTAATGCTCTTATATTGTTTTAAATCATTGGTATGATAGGATAGTACAGTTTTAGACGAGCAATATGTTTTTGTTTGGATTGCACGCCTGTTATTGTATGCTGCCCTAGAACATGTTAGGATGCATAAAAATAAGTTAGATAATGTACAAGTGCTTCCAGTTCATAAAAAAACATTATGAAAATAGTCGCAGTTGTTATTGTTTTTGACTTATGGCGACCTTCAATCAACTCTATGATGCAGCTTTCTTGGCAAGAATTTTTTAGAGGGAGTTTGCCCTTGCCCTCCTTGGAAGGTGAGTGAGTGTGACCTGTCCACGATCAGCCAGTGGGTTTTTCCAAATCAAATGGAGACTTGAACCCTGGTTTTTCAAAGTCCTAGTCCAGACTCAAACCACTACACCACTTTTGCCTCATCCGCACTGCAGAAATACAGTCTTCCCTCCCCATTCATGGATTTGGAGTCTGTGGTCTCACTCTTCGCGACAACAAGATGGGGAGGGAAGACTGTATTTCTTCGCAACAACAAGGTAGGGAGGGAAGGCACTGAGCGCGCAGCCCTTGAAATCAATGGTGCCCCATTATTAGCGATATTTCTAATTCATGGGGGGTGAGGTGTCCAGAACAGATCCCCTGCAATTCGAAAGGGATGACTGTAATCTGGTTTGACACCACTTTAACAGCCTGGCTTAATGTTATGGAATTCTGGGATTTTAGTTGATTGTGGAACCAGAGCAAGACTCTGGTGTCACAACCAACAACAACTCCCAGAATGATATAGGATTGCACCAGGGAACTTGAAGTCATGTCAAACTGGATTATTTCTGCAGTGTGGATGCAGTCACTGGCTAGGAAATAAGTGTTAGTGGCTAGGATATAAATAGACACTGGAACACAAGTGGTTAGAAGTCATTACAGAAGCCTTTTTAGTTATGATGATGTTAATTTTCTAAGGACAATCAAATTTGTTAGTTTCACTTCCGTATTTGCTTTTGTGAATTCTGTTAAACTGATAAAATAATGAAACTGAAATGAAATTTTCATCATATATATCATTGTCCATTTTGGACATATGGTACCTCTTCTTAACTAGGAAACCTGGCTCTAGCCCTGAATAATTTTGGAATATGTATTACATTGTAGTAGGTTCTTATCAGTGTGCAGACTTTGCTGTTCCATTGGCAAACATGGCATAGTCTTGGTGATGCCAAGTAACTGACAAAGAGTTGTACCTTAGATTTCCTTGTTCATATAGACCTGAATTGTTGCTGCTTCTTCTTGGTAAGCTCTGGTTTTTAAGGGCAAAAGCCTAATATTGTTTATTGCTCCATAGTGGTATGCAGATCTAAACTTTATTTCTTAACCAAAAGGGTAATATATTTCTGAAAAAGAAAATGAAATGTATATATTTCTGAAAAAAATCTAGGGCTCAACTGCTTGCTTTAATAGAGCTTGGTCAACTGAAAGTCTATTGTTACTTCACTTGAAAAAATGTTGAATATTTGCTCAAGAGGAGGTCCAGCAGCTGTCAAGTGGCTATCAGAAGTTAATTGTTTTGTAAGTTAAAGTCTTATTTGTTGTAAGATACAGATAAAAGAATGTTGCTAGAAATTTTAGGTTGATCCTTTGAATTTGTTTCATTTGAAGAAGGACTCCTCTGGCAAGACTGGAATTCCCATCAATCCTCACAATTAGCCATGCTGGCAAGGATTAATGGGAGCTGAAGTCCAGCAGTGTATTGATGAATAAGCTGCCCACTTTTGATCACAGGGAAATTTTATGAGCCAACCCTAAGAGTATGCTAGCTCAAGAATATATAAGGTGTGTATGTATAGATCTCTGTATTATGAATCTAAGTGTGTATGCTTTGTTGTTGTTGTAGCTGGTGGAGTGTGATATGAATTTACTTGTAACAGTAGCCACACATGATCCTTCCACTGACAGATGAAGTCCTTTTTATTCAAGGAAGCTTTTGAGATATAAACATATATAGCAAACTTATACAAACTTTGTTTCATGCACAAAATTATTAGGCTATGTATATATAAGACATAAAGGAATTTCATGTTTAAACTTGACTCGTTATGTGTATGCAAATATTTCAAAATCCGAAAACCCCCCAAAACATTTGTGGTCCCAAGCATTTCAAATAAGGAGACTCAACCTGAACTCTGTTAAGAAGTCCTCCCTTTCATCTTTCTGAAATTTTGAACCATTCAGTTTCAGTGGAACCCAAAGAGAATAGGAAGTGAATGTAATAGGTAATAATGGAAGGGAGTGAGGACTCAAGGCTCTGTAATGGTGATATTTAATATGTTATTTCTGAGGATGATTCTCTCCAGGGCATGAATGGTTAACACTTTCACTAGATTTTTAATTTCCTGGATGTTTTCTGCTTTGAATAATTTTTTAGTTATTCAGTTTCTTAATTGTTTTAATCTGATATTTGTAGTGTTCTTATTTATTTAAGCTGTGTTTGTGTGGTTGTGATAATTAAAATGATTTGGTTCAATTTATTCTTAGCTGCTTTGAAGTCTATTGAAGAAAGGCAGAGTGTACATTTCAATGATATGTGTGGATTCTGTTGTTGAAGCTCTGGACGTCCCACAGCTTCAAGGAACGTTGTGACTCTCGACTGTTGTGCCCCTCATATCAGCTGCATATCTCTTATGTTTATGGAGCACCATTGTCTGTTTCTTTTCAATGTGTTACACAAATACAAATCTGCATGCTACTTTAAGAAAGGATAAACAGTAAAGCTATTAGAGACTAGCACAGTTGTTTAGTTTCTTTACAGTGGAATTGCTGCAATAAAAAATCAGGTATTGAACATACATAGTCATCGGTAGGCACAGATAGAGTGCATATGAACAACTCAAATACAGAGTAATATGATGAGAATTATTATGTATATTTAGATTTCAGAATGTTACTGGAGGAACCAGTGTGGCATAGTGGTTTTAGCACTGGACTATGAGTCTGGAGACCAGGGTTCAACTCCCAGTTCAGCCATGAAACCCACTTGGGCAAGTCATATGCTCTCAGCCTCAGAGGAAAGCAATGTCAAGCCTTCTCTGAACAAAACCTGCCAATAAACCCCCATGATAGCTTTGGGTTAGGGTCGCCATAGGTCAGAAACCACATGAAGGCACACAACAACATGTCTTTCAGGGCTAGAAAGAGGAAGAGAAGAGTAGTCTGTGCAAAGTCACTTTTTTCCTTCTTACCAAGCAAATTTGAATTAATGGAAGAGGAAGATTTAATAGGGATCTAGTCAATCCTCTTCTCCCCCACCTGTAGTCAACTGTAATTCTTTATTGTGAACAGTCCTGGCACGGACCTCTAATTTGACATGAAAAGTCTATCCCTAAATAGCATATTGTGCCTCAGTATTGTTTCATTGCTTGAGAGCTAGCAGATGGCAGAAATGCTATCCATTGAGCAGAAGTGTAAGAGAGCATTCATTGAAGAAGACAACAAATGTTCTGTCAGCATAAGCTAGCTGGCCTTTTGCTTTTATATCTCTTCCTCCTTATTTTGGCAGGACACACTGAGGTCAACATCAGGATAGGTTTTTCTCTTCACTGGTCTGTAGTAGTAGTACTAGTAGTAGTAGTAGTAGTTGTGTGCCTTCAAGTTGTTTCCAACTTATGGTGAACTTATCAAGGGGTTTTCTTGGCAAAATTTGTTCAGAGAAGGTTTGCTAATGCCTTCCGCTGAGGCTGAGAGCATGTGACTTGCTGAAGGTCATCCAGTGAGTTTCATGACTGAGCTGGGAATTGAACCAACTTTCAAACCACTATGCTACACTGATTCTGTTGTTTTATAATACTGTTTTAATATGGTGGTTATTACCGGGCAAAGCCGCCTAGTGTCCTTTTTTGGACCTCTGTGTATGTAACCTGTTTTTCATTACCAGAAGCTTTGTTTATATCCACTCAGAATGTATTGTTAATGAAATATGAAGAACTTGGTGATGAGGAGGGAAAACTGCAAGCTAGATACAGTTTCTAACATTTGTCTTTGAAAAAGCAATTGCTTGTGTTTAAAACAAAGGCATGGTTAAGTTCTGCTAGGGGAAAGCAGGTTGGATATGAAGAAAGCCATGCTCCATAAAATAATATGGCCTTTTCTAAATCACTTCAGAAGCGAGGACTTTGAAATAAGAATAGAAGAATGGATTTGACACAGTCCATTGAATTCAGCATTCTGTTTGTGACAGTAGCCAGCAATATGCCCTGTCTAGGAAATTTCCAGGGTCAAAAGGGTGATCTTGATTCACTGCTTGTTCTTACCGTCCAGCTATCAGATATATATTGCTTATAGAGTCACACGTAGCTGACATAGCTTATAGCTGCAAATCCTCTTTTTTAAAAGTGCAGTTAAGGGGTTAGTCCACCTGTGTGGGTTCTTTAAGTGATTACTGCAACATTACCAGGCAAACCAAAAATAAATGGGAACCTTTCAGACCACACAATTATAGTGTTATGATTCCACTTTAACTACTATGGCAACATCCTGTACAGTCTTAGGGCTTTTAGTATGGTGAGGCTATAGAGCTCTCTGGCAGAGAATTTATCCTTAAACTGCAAATCCCAGGACTGCATAGGAGATTTCCATGTTAGTTAAAGTGGAATCATAGTGCTATACACTGTGTAGTGTGACTGTTCCCAGGATGTTGTAGAACAGGAACGCTCATTAATGGAGATGGAATTTTGGAAACCATTTGTAAATTATGCTTAACTATATTCTGGACTGGCACAACATACAGTGGGCCCTTGGTATCCACTGGCATTTGGTTCCAGGACCTTCCCTTGGATACCAAAATCCGTGAATGCTCAAGTCCCATTATATACAGTGGCACAGTAAGATGGTGTCCCTTGTGTAAAATGGCAAAATCAAAGTTTGATTTTTGGAATTTATTTTTAAAATATTTTCAAACTGTGGATGCTTGAATCGATAGACATAAAATCCATGGATATGGAGGGCTGACTGTAGTTCCATTAGATGCTGGCTTGCGGTGGCATACATGTTGCAGGAAATTATGGTTAATGCTGGCAAAGGAGGAGAGAAATTGAAAAAGGAAGTTGGAATGGAAACGACCAGTTAGTATATAGTGTTTGTTTCAGTTATGAAGCATGGCTTGTCAGGAGTGAGTGTTATATTTTCAGTGGCAACAGACTTATTTATTTCAAAAATTAATATGTTCATTGCCAATGTAGGGGCTGCTGTTTCCTTCTCTTTTCCTTGAAACCCGTGTGGTTTTTGCCCTCCATTGAAAAATAGACTACTTCCTTGAAAGCAGAGCATTGTGGCACTTGGAAATGTATTTAATTCCTAAATTAAGTATTGACCTGGATATAACAATAAACTAGCAAATCAGGATTTTATACTCTGCTAACTGAAAACATGAAAGCCAGTGTTGTGTAGTGGTTTGATCACTGGGTTAAGACTGCAGAGACCAGGGTTCAAATCCCCATTCAGCCATGGTAACCCATTGGACGACCCTGGACAAGTCACATTCTCCTAATCTTTGAGGAAGACAAA